TGAACATTCAGGAATGTGGTGCTGACCTTCTGCAACTTTCTACATCCAACAAATTTTCTCTATATCTGACCTTTTAGGCATATATTTTGGACACAGTCTCTAAAGTGCTGCCTGCTAGGGCACCGGATTTTGTAATCCGGCTCCTGCAGTTACTTTTACCTCAGTGTTGACCCTCCAGGCCCCTTATCACTCAAATTGTGATTTTTCCAGAAGTCTGCTTTTGTGTTACTGACGTTGCTTCTCCTTCACTAGTAGCTTAGTGATCCTTTGAGGCAAAGAAGGTAAAGTCATTGCAAAGATGCTTTCATCAATGCATATGATATATCCATAGGCTCACGAGATGACTCAGGCTGGCAGGGACCTGGGAAGGTCTCCAGTCCCAGCCCCTGCCCAGAGCAGGGTCAGGCTGGGCTGCTCAGGACTTCACCCAGTCAGGGCATGAAATCCCCAAGGCCAGAGAGAGTCCACCCTTGTCAGATCTCAGCTCCACTGCTGGGTTGTCCTCCTGGGGAAGAGGCTTCTCCTTATCTTCAGCCTGAGCCTCCCCTGTGTCACCTTGTGCTGCTGCCTCTCTCCCTCCTGCCACACACCACTGTGAAAAGCCTGAATGCATGTCCTCCATCCCCTCCCATCAGTGCTGGAGATGCTGTTGGATGGCCCAGAAACCATCTCTCCTCCCAGCTGAACCATTCCTAATCATGCAGCCTCTTCTTGGAAGTGAAGGGCTGCAACCCCACTGTCTGTCACCAGGATAATCATGCTCCCCTGAAGTCCCTCTCGTTTGCTGGTGTCTCTTCTGTGTTGGGGACCCAAACTGACAAGCACCAAGTAGAGGCCACAGTCCCTGCCCTCCTCTGTCTGTCGGGGCCATGTCCTGCTCACCCCACCCCAGGCACCACTGGCCCTCATTTCTGCGTGGGCACACAGCTGGCCCCAGGGCATCTTGCTGCCCACTGGCACCCAGAGCCATGCCCCAGAGCTGCCCCCACCTTGGGGCAGCATCTGCCCTCCATCCCCTCCTCCAGATACCAGTGGAGATGCTGAACCAAACAGGCCCCACACAGACTCTGTGGGACCCCGCCTGATACTGGCCTCTAGGCAGCATCTGACTGAACAACCCTGTGAGCCCACCACCCAACCACGTTCTCTCCCATCAATCTGTCCTCCCTCCAGGTTGTAATGTCCCAGCCCAGGTACAAGAATATTGGGGAGACAGTGCCGAAAGCCTGGCTAGAGCAAGGGTAGGTTGCATTTTCTGCTCTCGTACCATGATTTTGACACAGTTTGGTGGATCAGGCATGATCTACCTGTGGTAAATGCTTGTGAACTTGTCCCTGTCTGTCTTCTCCCTGCTGTGCTCAGACATGGGCGCCAGGATGTCTTGCTTCTTGATTTTACTTGGGACTGGCAGAAGGGTGACTGGTCTGTGGTTTCTCAGGTTGGCTTTTGACCTTTTTTTGAAGGCAGGTGTGACATTTGTTTTTCTCCAGTTGTTGGAGACCTTCCTGATCTCTGTGATCTTTGAGTGCTGAGTTTCCTCAACACTTTGGGGTGCAACCTGAAAGGTCCAAGGGACATGTGTGGGTCAAGTGCTCTCGAGCAATCATGACTCAACCATCATCCCTGTCTGGTAGCTCCTCTCCTTCTTGAGCCCTTGAACACAGCACATAACTTTACAGAAAAAAAACCCAAACAGATGGAGGTGATGTTCTGCTTTGGTTTCCTCAGCCTTCCTGAGAGCCTCTTCGTCTTGGCATTTGACATCTCAGGTAGCTCAGGAGTCCATAGCACCTTGTCCCTTCCTGCTAGATGATTAGAGAGAGCAAGAGTGCCAGCTTGGAGCAGAGCATGAGCTATTTGGGAAATACTGGTCCTTTTACATTCTTACCTCTTGCTATGGTAATCTCTAAGGTAAAAGCAGCTGCGTGGACCCTGCAACACCTGTGTGTTAGGTTTATGTACAGTTCTTCCACTGCCTACTCAGCATAACAGCTGTTCTGAGTGCAGCTCACCTCTGGGTGCACTTACATGTAAACATTAAGTATGTAGTGCAAGTGATTTTAATTACTAAAACAGCAGCTGCATGGACCCTGCAACACCTGTGTGTTAGGTTTATGTACAGTTCTTCCACTGCCTACTCAGCATAACAGCTGTTCTGAGTGCAGCTCACCTCTGGTAAGTATGTAGTGCAAGTGATTTTAATTACTAAAACAGTTCAGTGTTCACTGGACCTCTCAACTTCAAGGTTCCTGCACTGATTTGTATTGTGAGATGGTTAGTTCCTTTCCACAGAATCTCTGCTTTGAAAAGGCAGGTTGCTCTGACTCTTGCTGCTTTAGAAGGGACTGCTGATGTAACCCTGTATGGAACAGTATTGTATGAGATAGATAAGTCATTCTGTTCTCATACTTTGATGATGGGCTGAAATTATTTCATGTTTTAGAAAATGTAATACACTGATGATGAGCTTGATTGCTTTTCAGTGCTGTCATTCCAAGTGCTGGTATTTGCTGAATCAGACTCAGAATGTGTAATGTGGTATCTAAGTGAGCCATGTAAGGTAATGTAGTATTTAGTTGTGGTTGCTGTTGGTTCTCTGTCTTTTGGAATGACTCCTGGATAAAAGGTCTTGTTGATGTGAGACCACTCTATGAGCATACAGTGACCACAAGGTATTTTCAGGACTAAAGGACAATAGGTTATCTATGTTTTTTATAATCTTTCACCTAAAGATATTTTTTTTTTCCTGACATTTGCTGTCTCTTACCCTTTTATTTCTCCCCAAAAAGTAAGCAGAAAAAAATGGAGCAAGGAGGATAATAGCTCAGCTGTGGAGAAATTTGTCCTCTAAAGACTAATGATAAAATCAAAACTACCTCTTTCTTCTGATCCTTCCTTTGAGGTATGTAGGGAGAGTCATAAACAAATACAGTCATTGGCTTTGTTCTCTTTGTGGGCTGATTTTCTCCAAATCTGTGTCCCTTGTGCTATCTGCTTTGCTGCTACGTTGCTCTGAAACACTTTCTGTTTAGATATCTCTTTATCAGTGACTCTGAGTGTGGATTTTGAGTCCACATGTTATTTAACAGCATGATGTCAATAATAATCTTCCATCTGTGTTGATCATACACAGTCTTCTGAAATAATAATTTAATTGTATATATGTGACTTGGTGTGACTGTTTGATTCTCCAAGTTCCAGATTGGATACTTTTTGTTTATTTCATCAGCCTTGACCTTGTTTGTCTTAGTTTGCCTATGAGGAGGCAAAATTACATGGGTTTTGCTTTTCAGGCCATCAAAATGAGGTCCCTAGATCAGTAGTTTGTTTCAGCAGATCCTGTGCTCCCCCTGATAATCCCTGGGTTTCTTTCTGCCACTACCACAGTGCAGATGGTTGTGGAGTCATGCAGTGAGCCAGACTGGACAATACTTCTGGTTAGCGTAACTTTGCAGTAAAAACTCCTATGTGTGGTTTCCCCTCCCCTGCTAGATTATTTCCTCTTATTCTTTCAGGATTCAGTTGTAAGCACATAACTGACGTTTTTGGCAAGTCCCTAGATTTCTGTGATATCCTACTATTTATCTCCTCTAGGGAGAAGGTGTAGGTGGTCCAGGTGAGCTAAGCCATTTTGAAGTAGCTTGACAAAAATTTGAGTATTTTTGGTAGTCCCTGTTGTCTTCTGACTTCTAGCTAGCCATCATCATACATCATACATGTGACAGTAGAGCTCAGGTCTTTTCTGCAGTGCTAGGCTTCTGCATCTCTTTAATTCTCCAGTGAATAAGATTGTTTAATTGAGTTATTAAGAGTGTGGTAGGCTTCCTTCTCCAGTCTGCTTTTCAGAACATTGAATCAATCAAATGCAATTTGCCTATGTTGAAAAACTGGAGTGCAAACATAGTTTCATGGTTTCAAAAAGTGCCTTTCTAAAGCAATTTACTTGTTTAGTTTGCTTAGGGTTGTTTTGGGATTTGTTTTTGTTTGTTTGTTATTTTAAATCTATTTCTCTTTCATCAGTTCACGCTTATATCCACAGAAAACTCTCTTTCTGAATGTACCTTTTCAGGGTTTTGCAGATGTTTACAACTAACCTACCCTGCGATCCACAAGCAATACATCTGAGTACTGAGGCATTCATTGAGTTTGGGTTGTTGAAGGATGTTTTTTATCTTAAAAGAGTAAAAGGGAAGAATTTGTCTCCATTTCCCAGGGTATATTGACCTCTGAAATCTCTAAAGGAAAGCTGGACTGTCAGATGTCACTATAAATTACATTGAAGTTAATCCTGGAGAGGAGACTGGAGCCTGCTGAGGCCTGTATGACAGTAATACTGTTTGAATTTGCAGTCTAGATTATTCATGCAGTTGCAAATCTTTAATGCTAACTGAGCTTCTGCTAAATTTCACTTAACATTGTATTTGGTGTATTCACTTTGCTGGCATCCAAGGGTTAGTATAAAGGTCACCCTGAAGTTCTCTCTAGACTCTGGAGCCCCTCTCCCCCTAATTAATGATGGTACCTCTTAGATCTTTTGTCAGTACCTAGTATAACCTGTTATAAGAAACATGGAAAACCTTGGTGTCATAAGATATTCCTCTGAAATGTCACACTTGATACCAATAAATCTGAGCTACATTGCTGTGTTCAGAATTGCTATACAGGACTCTCAAACTGTTACAGAATTGCACGGAATCACAGCATGGTTTGGGTTGGTAGGTACCTTTGAAGATTGTTTAGTCCAATCTCCCAACTGCTACTAGTGTTCCTCAGGTAGAGAACAAATTCTGTATCCAACAAAATATATTTATGATTTAATTCAGTGTCATTTTGTCATTGTAGAGATTTTTTTCAGCTGAGTTAATTTTTATTATCATCCATGTAAGAAAGCTACTATATCCTTCTTTGCAGAAAAGTTATTGGTCTATTCTGAGGAAGATCCTGGAGTTGCATTGCAAGTGTGTCTGATATAAAATAATTTATTTATTTTTTCGTGTGAGATGTTGCTGTGGACGGCTGATTGGAGATCACCCAGAAGTAGACTGTAGCTGGCCTGTTTATCAGACTGCCCCACAGAAAGATTCTGGAGAATGGTCTGTGCAAAAACACACGAAGATGAGTCCGACAGATGCATTTGGTACAATCAATTTTCAGGATGGAGATCACACTTACCATGCCAAGGTAAGAGGTGCTGGGTTTATATGTCCAACTTCTTTTTATAATTTCAGCATAAGAAAGGCAGGGGAATCTAAAAGTAAGTCAGGTTAGCGTGTGTGTATGATATTTTTATGTTGAACTTCACTGTGATTAAGCATAGTCTGTCTTGCTGTCTGTATTGCTCACTGATGTGTTTTTGTGCTGTCATGTTAGCAGTAGTGTGGAAGTTTTAATCTTTTACAAAATCTTTAAGACATTAATGCTGAGAACTCTTTTTCTCTGGGAGTAATTCAAGGATGTTTATTTTATCCATTATTATTTCTTCCAGTATATTAGACTTTCTTATGATAGTAATTTGGATCAGCTGTTGCACCTCATGGTTAAAGAATGGCAGATGGAGTTGCCAAAGCTAGTGATCTCTGTTCATGGAGGCATTCAAAATTTCAAGCTTCCCTCAAAGGTCAAGCAGGTTTTCAGCAAGGGATTGGTAAAGGCTGCTGAGACTACAGGAGCATGGATAATTACAGAAGGCATCAACAGCGGTAGTGTAATTATTTTTCTTTGTTTCAGTTTTCCTCTGGTGTTTTTTCTCTGCCATACAAGCATATACATTTAGGGCAAATATAATGAAATTGTTTGATAAATTGTGGTATTTTATTACAAAATGAAGCTTTTTAAAGGAACAATGCATAATTCGAAGAATAACATATGTTCTGCTGTTTACAGGCATTCTGGGTTTTTTTTGTTTGTTTGTTTGTTTTGTGGGTATTTTTTTTTTTTTTTTTATTAATTCAAAGAGCAGAGTATTATGCATCTAATAAGAAACACTGTTAGGAGATAACCAGAACTTATTTGCAGTCAGTTTTATCTGTTTCATTAAAATATTTAGGTTCTGAGCACTGTGATTTGTGGTCTTGAAATAGTTTTCAAATCTCAGTTTAACGGGTTTTATAATTAAGAAAGTTTTGAATCTGGAGAATCCATTAATTAGTATGTTAGTATCTGAAACTCCCTTTAGACTACTCTCAAAAACTGAGGGGGTCAGTAAGCCACAGAACTGAAAGTTTAGATTTTATCCAGTCTGGTGCCCTTACAGGAGAACTGTTCTGTGCATTTATGTAAATAATAAAGTTTTATGAAGTACAAATTAGCAACAATTATGAGTATTATTAATTAGAAATTAATTATAAATATATGTTGAGTTTGAAGCACTGATATATTACGTTTAAGCCTTACAATTCCTGTGGTGCACATCAAATATACAAGTTGGGCGGGATGGTTTGTTTCTGGCTAAAACATAACTGTAGAATAAACTAAATGATGGGAAACCCTTTCACTGGTGTCCTGTAGCAGGTCTCCAAAAGTAGAAGAAAAAATATTATTTAATTATCTGTTTAGGAGTGTCCAGGCATGTGGGCGATGCACTGAAAGGCCGTGCTTCACCACACCTGAGAAAGATCTGTGCTGTTGGAATTCCTCCATGGGGTATCATTGAAAACCAGAGGGATCTCATTGGAAAAGATGTGAGTTGGACACATTTAAATAATAGAAACCTTCATATTCAGGGGATGTTATAGCTTTCTTGCATACTTTATTGTCTGCCTGTTTCATTTCACTGGTCTGGTATTTTTTCTCAGTAATGAAGGCTTGGATTTTGCTCAGCAGTAGATTTTTTTTGGCATGTTCAGGCACTATATTTTGCTTTTTGTATGCAAAAGAATAGTTCTAAAATATTTATTTTTTTACAGGAAATTGCCATTAGTTTTTGAAATTTTGTAATTAATTAGGCAATTCTCTTGTGGCTGCAAATGATATATTTCTATTATCATGTGATTCAGGATGAGCAATCAGGTTAACAGTATATTCAAAAAGGATATTAATATGCATGATTTTTATTTATAAACTAGAAATTCATGTGGGTGCTAGTGTGAGGGTACAATCTACATGACTGTCTAGTAACACGACAAATAAGGTGAAATCATTCCTGATAAAGTAGCTCACATGTTTTTAATGGGAATACACTGAGGAAAAATATGGCGTTGTGTTTCAGCTGTTGCAAACAAAGGCAGGTGGTGGCTCTGACTAAAGACTGCAAGCCTAATCACTAATGTTTTCGGTGGTATTAATTGTGGTTTTGTTGCTGTTAAGAATCAAATGAAAACCGAAACACAAAAAGTGTGATGAGGCTCTCAGAAGATCAAATAAATACATACAAAAGAGGCAACATAAATGGTGATAATTTGTTGGTTTCTTTGAAGATGTTTTTATTTTGGTTTTCTTAGGTAGTTTGCCTGTACCAGACTCTTGGTAATCCACTCAGCAAGCTAAGTACCCTCAACAGCATGCATTCTCATTTTCTAATGGCAGATGATGGGACAGTAGGCAAGTATGGGAATGAAATGATGCTCAGGAGGAATTTGGAGAAGTACATATCACTTCAAAAAATACACACAAGTGAGTACTGCTGTGGTCAGCTTTATGACAGAAAAACCTATCCTAAAAGTTGTGGAAGTACTTCAAATTTCCTGTTACATGTTGCACATCTTCATTTGCCGTAGATTTCACTCAGGTTAAAGGTTATTAATTGCATGTGTCTTGAACACTGAATATGAGGAAAATGAAAAGGACAGTATTTTTATAAAGCATTATGCCTTTGGGCTAACTCACATTTTGTTTTTTCAGTTGTACCCACACCTAAATGACTCAGATTATTTACTAAGTATTCAGCATTTGCTCACTTTGAAGTTTTGCATGGTCTTTGTATCAGCACTAGATAGTTTTCTAGCATTTTTCTAGGTAGAAAAAATGTCACATTAAATGTAATTAGAATTATTTTTCCCCTCTTCATTATTTTATCCTCATCACTCTTCTATATTGGAAGCCTGGCACCTCCTCTGGTACAGAAACAAAGACTAGTTGGGAACAGAATGCTGTCGGCTAATGTTGGTTATATTGTGTAACTTTAATTGTTTGCCTATACAGTAACCAAGTTATGGTATAGAAATCATGAATGAAATATTTATTGCGTAGACAAGTATTTCTTTTTATGCACTAGATTGTATAAATTATCTGTGGAAGTTCACTCTTACCTAGTGATTTAAATCTTGAGGTATGATGTTGAATCATAATGCAGAGTTATGATGTTGAATCCTTGTTTCCTTTATCTGCTTACATTACAGTATTTACAAATATAGAAATTTACCCAATTTTCAATGTGTTCATATATAGAGCTTCTTACTCTGCCTCTTACATCTTTCTTCACTATGAGTTTTTGCAAGTCAGACTTTCTGTTGTTTTTAATTTCTATTGTATCTTATTTGAAATTTATTTTTGTTTATTAAAAAAAACCCTGCCCTGCTGATGTAAAACTTGAGCAAGTGCCTGATTACTTTTCTATGTATGTAGGTAAAGAAAAGGTTACTGACCACATTTCAAACACCGTCAGTGTCTGTGCATGTAAGATCTGTTGTAAAGAGCAGAGGGATATTCTGAAGGATGTTTTTTCTTTGCAATGCTAGCACCACTTGCAATTTTATCAGAAGGTTTTCATGGCCTTATTGATCTTGTTGCAGAAGTTCTGTGAAAGTGTTAAAAAGTGTAAGTCAAATTAGAGATGGTGAAGACGTGTTTTGCACCACTGAACCATGTATGAGACCTCTTCATGAGTTTTATTTACCAGATGGCCTGATCTTTTTGTGTGGCTGGGACCTGTTCGTAATGAGTTAGGTGTGTTTTGAAACAGGAATGGGCCAAGGTGTACCTGTAGTTGGGCTGGTGGTGGAAGGAGGCCCCAATGTGATCCTAATGGTGTGGGAGTACGTGAGGGCCAGCCCAGCTGTCCCTGTGGTGGTCTATGACGGCACTGGCAGAGCTGCAGATATTCTGGCTTTTACCCACAAACACACGGGTGATACAGGGTGAGTAGTGGCATAATGCTCCTCCTCCTTGGTCTGTTATATTGCAAGGGACCCGAAAAAAACTGTCTCAAAACTGCTGAGATAATTTCTAATGCTATTAGTAATGACCCCACCATGGTATTTTGCTGGCTTTTATTTCTGTACAGAGTTTCTTCCTTCCTTGCCTCAAACTAGTGCTGAAAGAATTATTCTACCAAATTTGGTATGGCTTTTTTGAAGAAGAAAAATAAATGTCGTCTAGCTATTTTGAGTTACTATGTTTCTCAGCTTTGGCAAGGAACACTTCTGAGTGAACCCAGAGTGCCTGTTTGGGTTTTGACTCAAACCTTTGTCCTGCTATCAGTATTCCGTAAGTGGGCTTGGGCTTGGGCTGCACAAAGCTTTTGAGACTAGGGCTGGGATTAGTTGCTGTAGGAGCCTCAGTCTGGAGTAGGAGGACTAAGATTCTTTGGCTTTGGTTTTGGTTTACCCAGTGGTAACCCAGATCTGTCATCCTCATTTAGCTGTAACTCTTCATGTCACCTCCAGTGCAGCCCCAGGTTCAGACTCTGTTAAACCCACCTTGATGAAAATTATATGCCCAAACTGGAAATAAATATATATGTGTATAGCCAATTAATAATTTTGTGAAAGTTTTTCAAAATCAAGAGGGCTTTTTAATGGAAAATAAATCTTTTAAAAGGTGAAGTGGGTTAGTTCCAATTAAAAAAATGAAAATTACTATAAATTTTATATCCTAAATTTGTATTTATTGTCTTCCTAAATATTCTTTTTTTGGGGGTGATATTTTTCCCTAGTGTGTTGTATTGAAAACTTTTTTTCTTCACTTGCTTTCTGATCCATATTTCTGATCTTTAAAAAAAAATCCTGCCATTTCTAAAGAAAATGAAATATGGATGGAAAGGTTAACAAAGATAAATGATGGTAAAAAGGATGGGAGAGATATGAAGCCTAGTGAACACATAATGAGAAATTTAATTTTATCCTTATATGATGATTGAAAGAAAGAAAAAGTTTGCTAAACTTTAGTGATTTTTAGCTCTATATTCACAGACAATCCTTTGAAAATTGTTAACTTTTTCATTTGTTCTATTTCCAATAGTATGTATGCATGGTCAGAACTAATGCCCGTGTGAATAATAATTTATGTTATGTGATGCCTTTGCCTGGTTTTGTTGAAAGAAGGCAGAAATAAGTCAACAGAGAAGTAGAAATAAGAGATTGCTCCTATGTCTCTGCTTAGCACAAGTTTTGTCTTTTGCTGAAGTGTCATTTGGGCTGGTAAGAAGTTCCAAAAAATATACTTATTCTTGCTTATGTATCTGTTTTTCAGGGAGCTGCAACCTCAAGTGAAGGAGGAAGTCTTAGTGATGATTCAAAACACATTTAGCTTGGGACAGAAGCAGTCCAGTCATCTATTTCATGTTTTGATGGAATGCATGGAGCACAGAGAGTCTGTGAGTGGGGTTCACACTCTGACTTTAGGATGTCTTTATATGCTGTTACCCTTTTTGCTCTGTCTGTGGTGGCATGATCATAGCAGTTATAGAAGTAATGGTGTTATTTCTAATATAAAGATAACACAGAGGTGCCTGTACTAATTTACATATTGAGTAGCTCCACAGAGCCTGTTCAGTTAACTTCCTAAGTCTCAGTGGCTGCTTGTGAAATGACAGCCTTTCTGATTTTAGTGAAAGGACAGATATCTTTCCTTTCACACAAGAGATCAAGTATTTTCTTCTCTAGTAGTGTCTTGTAATTTAGAAATGTTTCTATCCATTTTTCTACTCATAATCATGCTAAAACTTGTCTCTGACTTTTGAAATGTACTTTTGAAATGTGCTGGCATGTTTAATGGCTCAGATGCTCATTTGAGAGTAGAATCATTGAACCATAGATAGGTTAAGGTTGGAAATGTCCTTAAAGATCATCTAGTTCCAATCCTCCTGCCATGGGCAGGGACATCTTCCACTAGATCCGGTTGCTCAAAGCCCCGTCCAGCCTGGCCTTGAACACTGCCAGGGAGGGGACAGCCACAGCTTCTCTGAGAAATCTATTCCAGTGTCTCACCAGCCTCACAGGAAAGTTATGAGGAAATATGTAGTCTAAGTCTACCCTCTTTCCGTTTAAAACCATTACCCCTTGTCCCATCACTACACTCCCTGATAAAGAGTCCCTCCCCATATTTCTTGTGGGCCCTCTTTAAGTACTGGAAGCCTGCTATATGATCTGCCTGGAGCCATATCTTCTCTAGGCTGAACAGATCCAACCCTCTTAGCTTGCCTTCATAAGGGAGGGGCTCCAGACCCCTGATCATCTTCATGACCCTCCTCTGGACTTGCTTGAGCAGGTCGATGTCCTTCTTATGTTGGGGGCCCCAGAGCTGGACACAGTACTGCAGGTGGGGTCTCACCAGAGCAGAGTTGAAGGGGAGAATTCCCCTCCCTCAACCTGCTGGCCACACTTCTCTTGATGCAGCCCAGGATACAGTTGGCTTTCTAGTCTGTGAGCTCACATTGCTGGCACACAGTCAGTTTTCCATCCATCAATACTCACAAGTCCTTCTCCACAGGGCTGCTCTCAATCCACTCATCCTCCAGCCTGTATTTGTGCTTGGGATTGCCTTGACCCATGTGCCTTGGCCTTGTTCAACTTCATGAGGTTTGCACAGGCCCACCTCTCAAGCTTCTCAAGGTCCCTCTGGATGGCACATCCCTTCCCTCTAGAGTATCAGCTGCACCACACAGCTTAGTGTCATCCACAGACTTTATGAGGGTGCACTCCAGCCCACTGCCCATGTCTCTGACAAAGGTGTTAAATATTCCTGGTCCCAATTTGGACCCCTGAGGGGCACCACTCATCACTGATGTCCACCTGGACATCAACGTGTTGACCGTAACTCTTTCAGTGTGACTGTCCAGCCAATTTCTTATCCACCGAGTGGTCCACCCATCAAATCCATTTCTCTCCATTTTAAAGACAAGGATATTGTGCAGAACAGTGTCAAATGCTTTGAATAAGTCAAGGTAGATGATGTCAGCTTCTGTTTCCTACACTAATGCTGTAACCTTTTTGTAGAAGGCCACTGAATCTGTAAGGCATGATTTGTCCTTAGTGAAACCACATTGGCTGTCACCAGTCACCTCTCTGTTTTCCATGTGCCCTGGCATAGTTTCCTGGAGGATCTGCTACATGATCTTGCTGGGCAGAGGGATGAGACTGACTGGTCTGTTGTTCCCTGGGTCTTCCTTTTTAGCCTTTATAAAAGTGGGGGTTATATTTCCCCTTTTTCAGTCACTGGGAACTTCACCAGTCTGCCACGACTTTTCAAATATGACAGAGTCCCATTTGTTAAAGGAGTAATGACAATTGTAACACTGATCACTAAAATGGAAACTGCTCTGTATGTTTTAATTATTTTTTGGTTTACTTTATTTGAGTGTCTGTTTTCTAGTTGGAAACTGAGTAGATATCAACCACGTTGCATTTCTACATTTCTCAGATTTAAAGGCTAATCAAAAAGAAATAGACTCATGTTGTTATGCAGTATGTTGATTCCAGTTTGCCTGGGATGCCATTGCATTAGAAAGCAAAATAGTACATTTTTGGTCTGAAACAAAGGAAAACCATGTCTGGGCCTTTGCCACTGTTTGTGTTTAAATGTGTAAGATTTAGTCTGCCACAACCCCTACCAGGAAGAACTAACTACAGAATTCTCTGCCTCACCTCAAATAATATACTTCTGCAATTCTAACAGATAACCATATTTGATGCGGAGTCAGAAGATCAGCAGGACATTGATTTGACAATTCTGACTGCACTCTTGAAAGGTACCTATCTGAAAATATGACCTGCTTTCATATGACATACAGTCATATTGGCTTACATTTTTAAAGCAAAGGAGTAATATAAATGTATGAAAACTTGTTTCCTAGGTACAAGTATGCCTGCTTCAGATCAGCTAGATTTGGCATTGGCCTGGAACCAGCTAGATATTGCCAAGAAACACATACTGGTTTATGGACAGCACTGGAAGGTACTGTTACCTTTTAATGATCACAGTGGTTTTACACTTCATTATGGTGACTAATTTTCCATGATTTGCATTTATCAAGCTTTAATTAAGGAATATTTTGATACTTGGAGTAAGTCTTCTGGAGTAATCTTCTTTGATTTTGGAGAGGCATTGTTTTTTAAATTGAAAAGTATTCAACAGCAGAATGCATCAGATCAAAAGTCAAACACATTTGTTTCACCAGAGAAGAGATGGTATCTAAAATTCCTAGGTTTTCGTCTCCAGCTTTTCCAGATAGTTTCAAGTGGTCCTTCTGGATATGTATTCCTCAAGCCTGTGTTGACAATCATTGATGGTCAAGGATATTTCATTGTATCCCGAAGTACTCTCTTCTCCAAAGCAGTAGACTCCAAAGGACTGTTGCCTCTATTTTACTAGCTATAGACAGAAATATGGATATCATGGTCCTTTATGGTGTTACCGGTAAAAAAAAATATTAGAGTTAACTGTGGTAACGGGGTATCATGACAATGTTTCAGATACTGTTAGGAGTAGCTGCAATCAAGGCAAGCGATTATTAGACCTATATTAACTATATATATGTGAAAGAACGTACAGTAGCAATTGAATCAGTCCTATAAATTGTGTTTTTCAAGTTTTCAGATGTAATCTAGTATTTAAATATAATCCTTCCTGAGTTTTTATGTACATAATATGATTTTTATAGGTGATAAGTATAAAACTGTATGTGCCTCAGTTGATGCTTTTTCCATTTCTTTTAAGAGTAAATATTTTCCTAAAGAAGTTATCTCTGATACTCCTGGAAGTACTTCCTAAGTTTTCCCTTCCAAGATTTACAAGGTTGATTTTTTTCTCGTCCTGAGGGCCTTTTCTTTGTTACAGTATAAATTTGGAAAATGGACAGTGGGTATATTTTTTCTGAGTGACTGTAGTTCATTGTTTGACATAAGAACACTGCATTTATTTATCACCAGTTTGTGTTTTCCTGTGGTATATAAGGCTGAATACATGGAGGCCTATGACTGAAATATCTACAGTTGGGTATCCATGAATTAAAAAATTTTGTTGTTACCTCTTTGGGGTCAGTTTGCTACATGTGAAATGAAGATGATCTCATCATGTTCTTGCACAAAACCTGATAAAATGGTGTCAAGTGTCCACTGAAATGCAAAGAAGGAAATTGCTGGTTTAATTTTTAGGATTTGGACAGTATGTGAATAATAAGGTGATGTGCTAAGCCTGGAACAATACATTTAGAACAAAATGTTGAATAGCTACCTACTAAGAGAGCATCATTCACTCTGTGAACTGAATGAGACTAAGCCTACAGGGAGACATAGTATATGGTTGACCAATGAATAGCTGTACCATTATTCATGGTGATGAATTATCTGCTGACTTTTGAGTATTTGACTACATAGCCTTAACCGTATTTCAGTCCAACAGACTTTTGTTTTTATGGAATATGGAAAAGATTTGTGTATACACAGTATATGCGTATTTTTGTCTTTATGAGTTTTTTTATGATACCCTGTTATATTTTTACTCTTACAAAGACAATGTATTTTTTTTCCCAATGTCTTCTTTCATTATTTTATAGCTTGTTTGAAATTTGTGTTTATTTAGTTTTCTGCTGCCAGCAACTCTGTTGTGAACTGTTAATAAGTTTTATTGAAGGACTTCTGTGTAAGATAATAAAGAAAGGGGGCCACCATCTATTTTACTGCTTCAAATTCTATACCACTGTTGTAAGAGAGAAGCATTACACTTTTGCCATTTTTGTCACTGAAGATATATGTTAGCAACGCCTGTCAGTCTGCATCATTTCTTTGTGTTTACATAAAAAGTGTGGCAGGTGAAACATGCTTTGACTGGTGAATTAGTATAAATGATTTACTGATAGAATCATAAAATAAAATCGTTTAGGTTGGAAAAGACCTCTAGTATCATTGAGTCCAATGTAAACCTAACACTGCCAAGTCCTCCACTAAACCGTGTCCCTAAATGCCACATCTACACTTTTTAAAAATACCTCCAGGGATGGTCAGTCAACCACTTCCCTGGGCAGCCAGTTCCAATGCTTGATAACCTTTTCAGTGAAGAAATTTTCCCTAATATCCCATCTAAATCTCCCCTGGTGCAATTTGAGGCCTTTTCATTCTATTGCTTGTTAATTGGGAGAAGAGACTGACACCCACCACACCACAACCTAATTTCTGGTAGTTGTAGAGAGCAATAAGGTCTACCCTCAGCCTCCTTTTCTTCAGGTTAAACACCCCTAGGTTCCCTCAGCTGCTTCTCATAAAACTTGTACTCTAGACCCTTCACCAGCTTCATTGCCCTCTGGATGTAGTCCAGCACCAAGGTGCTGGATGTTGGATGTGGCACTTAGGGACGTGTTTTAGTGGGATTTGGCAGTGTTAGGCTTATGGCTGGACTTGATGATCTTAGAGGTCTTTTCCAACATAAATGATTCTATGTGTATTGGAAATGATGAATAACATTTTCCTAGTCCCCATCTCTTCGACAGAGATTTTAGAGAACTATTGCATAGCCCACCCTTCACCTTCACTCCTGTCTTTCCCAAGGTGATTATCTGTTCAGTTTTTCCATATTTCTGAGAATCTTCTCTGCTCTTCTACATATTTTTTCAGGTCTTAAAATCATCTTTTGGGACAGCCAGACCAGCATTGTACCCAATATTCAAGAGACAGGATTCTTCACTGAGATATTTAGTGAAATACCAGTAATTTGTAGATTATTCTGTATTCATATAAGTATAGATCCTAATGGTCCATATGCCTTTTTGACTTGTTTCCAACTTATATGCATGCTTTTGGAAGATAGGTCTACTAACATTTTTTTCTGAGTTATTTCGAGACTGATGTGCAGGTAGGGTTGTTTCCCAAATGCACATTATTTCGCATTTACCAATACTGAATTTCATCTGCTTTTTCAGCTGGTTAGCCCTTATTGTGAATTTTTTCTGCACCTCTTCCCAGTCAGTTTTATTATGATATTTTTGTATCATCAGCAAGTATTGTCAAATAGATATGTGGTATTTTCTTGCTTTCCAACCACTATTAAGAATCTTTTTCCTTGACATCTGATCAGTTATTAAGCTACTGGATGACCTTTTGCATTGTGACAGCGTAATTTTTTTAGAAGTCCTTAAAGAAAGCCATCATCAAAAGCTTTTGTGGGGATATGAATTTATCGTATTAATCTGACAGTCTTATCCCCATTGTCTCTGACAAAATTATGTTAGAGTTCTGATTTCATTCTACAAAATAAATGTCTTGCTTCCTCTTACTCTACTGTATTTACTCATGTTGCTATTATTGCTATTCCTTATTGTAGTTTCATTATATTTGTCCTTACAAAGTTCTAACTGTATTTGTCATTTATATGACATATTTTGACAACTTGTACTCCTTGTCTTTTTTAGCAATCGGCATATTCTCTACTGTCTTCCATTCTGATGTTAGAGAGGCTGATTTCAAATATATTCAGTTCCCTTGGAACTCAGATGAATATCACCTGGTCACACAGTTGGCTACAACTTTGTGAATGACTTAAATAATCTTTTTTACTGACACTTCAATTTGACACAGTTCCTCAGATTTGTCAGCCATAAAGAACAGCTTTGATGTAGGACGTTTCCTAACATGTTCTGTAGTGAGAAGTAGGGCAATGAATTAATTTACCATTTCTGAAATAGCCTTATCTCCTTGCGTGTTTCTTTTATATCTTGATCATCCTCTGGTCTTACAGACTCACTGTAAGTCCCCCTACTCCCACTCCTCTGCTTCTGGTATGTTTGAAAAAGATCCATGTACCTGTTCATATCTATTTCCATGCAATTGTTCAGCACCATTTGAATGAAAAGTCACTGTCAAATAATGAGTATGTTCTCTCCTTCAAGTAAGACTAAAGACTTCATAATAAACAAGGCTTACATTTCTTGCTCCTTCTCCAAGTGATAATTAGAATGATGTATATTCCTGAAAGTTTTTCTTTCAACTAAGCAGGAAAAAAAATCTTAAATAACAATATTTTCTTCATTCATTATAAAGAAGAAGTAAAAAATAAATAAAATGTACAAGCACAGTTTTAAAGTTTGCTTTTGCCTTAGTTGCTTTCTTAATCAAAAAGGATTACCCCTTGGACTGTCAGGGTCTACCATACCTGCCAATGTCAGGGTCTGCACTTTGTGCATGGTTATTGTGGTTATGTGTTCAAATTTTGATTAGATATTTAAGCTGCAGTTTTTAGGTGATTGTCCATGCAGTCTTAGTATTTTTCTGTCTATTTAAGTGTAAGAAGGTAAAGAAGGTAAAGAATGTAACCAGTGTAGCTATGTTTCTGCTTAAAAGTCACCTCAGTCTCCAATGGACTTTACAATGAACAATGTCATTCTAGTAGCTACTGGATAGCTGTCTAAACTTCTTTAGATTCACTGCCAGCACAAGAAATGACTTGAGGAAATTTAATGGTCACTTTGAGATATTTCTGGAAGAAACACCAATAATTCAGGAACAGTGCACAAGTTTTCTTCTCACATGTGACAATTCTGTAACATTTAATGATTATCTTTTAATATCACTTCTGCCAAATGTAAATAGATAACAAGGAAAGCACTAACTTCATGTGCCAAGTTAGCATTAGAACCTGCTCCATTTGTGTGCCAGCATCATCATTCTGCTCATACCACTGAGTTTTTTGTGCATACGTAGAAATTATTTATATGGATTTATATGAACCTTGTATATCCAACCCCTTTGCTACTTTGCATGTAGAAATCCTGCTGAGCTCTGTGCATGTGCCATGAGTAGACTGCTTTTGCTGTTCGGACACTGTTGTAGGGCTCTGCTTTATCATGTCTTTGAGAGAGTTTATCTTAACACAGATTCTCTCTCATATTTGAAAAGAAGTCTGCTTTAAAGAACTTCAAGTTCTATAGAGATATCTTGAAATGTAGTACCTTGAAATGGCTTTTCTCATATGTCAAAAAAGAAAGGCTTCTTTCCGCCCCCTGCATTATCATACATTAGCTTCTGAAGGCAATTAAAGAGTAGGAAATGTGTTATCAGAGTCTGGTTATAAAGTTAGATTTGTAGAAGTCTCTATAGACATTGGGTTTATAAAGACTTGGTTTTCCTCACTTTCTGTTGGATTTTTTACACAGATGTTTCCTCCAGCATATTTTTCTTTTGTACTGTGCATGTTAAATATGTAAAGGCATATCTCTTTGTGATAAAGAGATCCCTAGCTGCTCAGGAATGTTTTATTTATTCCCAAAATACGATAATACTTTTCTAAGCTTTTCTTTCATCTCTGTCCTTTTGGAGGTTGGTGCCTTGGAAGAGGCAATGCTTGATGCTTTAGTGATGGACCGTGTAGATTTTGTGAAGCTGTTAATAGAGCATGGAGTGAACATGCACCGTTTTCTTACCATATCTCGTTTAGAAGAACTCTACAATACAGTGAGTATTTGAAATTCCAGTTTACAACTTTGTATAAGAACGCCTAGAAAGAATACTCTTTTCCATAAGAGAGTTGATAATTAGGCCACATCGTTATGAAAGATTTTTGAAAAAAAAAAATTGAAAATTAACAGGTTTTGATAATTTTTGATTGTAATGTTGGATTTTTGGCTTGGTGTCCCAGCTTTTAATTTTTGAGTCATTGACATGAACCAGACTGAATAATCACCTGAAGCTCATGAGAAATATGTTCTGATTTTAATCTGGTATATGATACATGTTTATCTTCCTGAAAATTGTATGTTGTTTAACCAAAGTGATACCAATTTTGTTCCAGAATATGTTGAGATTTAAGATAGAGATGTTGCAGATTGCTGTTGGAATGTTTTTTTAAGTGGTTTGTGGGGAGATTTTGAATCACAGGAGTTTGTCCTGAAGATCTTTTAGCTACTTTCTTTTACTGTATTGATTTTCTAATGTCAAGTGACATGTTTTTTTACTGTCTTTTCACACCACAGAAACAAGGACCATCAAATCTACTTTTGCATCACCTAGTTCGAGATGTGAAACAGGTAATAGACATGGGAAAGTCTGGGGACCAAAAATGGTAGCTTAGAACTTCAGTGTCCACTGACACACTGCTGTCAGGTAATGCTGTCAGGAGAATTTTAGTAGTCGTCAGTGATGCGTGTTCATTATTGCATTCCTCTATCTACTAAATGGTTTTATCTTCATCCCACTGATTCCCCTGAGCAGTTAACTAGCATACTACTACTGAATGCTCCTAAGGGTCCTGTACCTTAATTTCAAAGCCGAGCAGTTTGTGTAAATCAGACTCTCTTTCTCAAGTTACTAAAGTGACATTATGAGGTGACTGTTAAAAAGACTTAGTGACTTAGTGCAGTAATCATTCTCATTGCTTTAAGGTTTTATTTTTTTTTCTCCAAAGCTAAAAAAGTTGTTGAACAGTAACAAAAAGATACTGTGACAAGATATTATTTTAATGTGCTGCATCGCCTAGGAGAACAGAAGGTGGCAGTGGATGATTACTGCATCGAGCACTGGCTCTGTCTGTAGCTTAGCGGCAGCCTTGTTATTTAGCTACACAGTTAATTTATTTCTTGTTTCTGTTATATATTGTACCTCACAGCACTGCTTAACCAGGAAGGGTTGAACTGTTCCTCCTACATCTGGTCACCACTGCTGGAGATGTCTACATCCAAAACTAGATTAATTGGCTAATTCTTTACAGGGTATGAATGCTAAAATAAAATAAAAGTCTGACTTTGCACAGTTCTGTGGTCTCAAGCAGTGGGATTTCTGGTATGATTTTCTTATTGTGGGTGACTTTCATGTCAGTCCCAGTGGTGGCTCTGTAGGGTATTCTGGCCTCCATAGCAAGCTATTTTCTCTGTTTTTCCATATTGGTGGACATATTTGAGGACTAATTTATGTTCTAGATCTGGAAGATCTCAGTGCTGAGAATACATTGGACTTTTCCAAGTTGAGAAATCTGTCTTTCTCACTGATTTTGAAGTGATTGTGACCCCTCTTCTAAAACCCATGTCCTGGTTACATCTCAGAACACTCTGGGAAAACTCAGGGTGTGATCTAAAGGGAAGCTTTTGGTATTTGAAGTGGAATTGTGGAATTTAGGTAGTAAATGGCTGTACAATTTCAAAACTTTCTATGCTGTTTGGTAAACTAAACTCATTTGGCACCTGCAAACTAGTATAAACGCTGAAAAGCCTTTTTCACCTGAAGTTCTATAAGTATGCATAAGTGCTCTGTGATGAATGGGTTGTGCAGTTGCAGTCTCATTAAATATGGTAACATGGTAGCTAGGACAGTCACCAGAGTGATGTGACCATGGATTTCAGAATATTTTTTCCATTAGTGTGACCAGCTTTGCTGCTGCTACATTTGAATGGAGATACATTGCAGACTGCCCATATGCTTTTTAGTGGCGAAAAGTATGTACAGGTGGTCAGAGATACTTGTCTACCTCAGTGACAGAGCTGGCAAACTCTATTCTGTGAAATGTGCTTTTGCCCATGCAAAACATGCGGAGTGCTCAGCATGTTGGTACCTTCTGTTCCCCAGGGCTGGGTATCCTTAGCTGGCTATACTGAGTCTTGCCACTGAAGTCTATTGAAAAATCCCTCAGTTTAATGAAGAAATGACTTTTCACAGTCTGAAAGGTGTACACCGCTAGGAATACCTAATGCTTCTGATCCCATCTATGTACAGGCCCACTTCTCACTTTCAGGAGTTGTGGTTTAAGATTTTACCAATCATCTTTAAAATCTGCATGGAAGATAATCTATGCTTCATATAATTTGTCACAGACATTGTGCCTTGGAAGGACAGTGGAGGTAAACTGGGAAGCAGTGGTGCTTTAAACAGAAGTGGTGAGAGACTCAGAAAGTACAGCTAATGCATGTGCATCTGCTGTTCTAGTCATGACAGTCTTGAGCATCTACAAGAGATCACCAGTCTCCAGTAATTACTCTAAACATTAAATACATGCTTCATCCACTTCTTCATTTTTAATTAATGAACTAGTTTAGTGAGAAAATCATACCACGCTAGTTTTCTCTTGTTATGAGAAAAACATTTTTATCAGTCTCTCTGGGTGTTGGTGATTAACATGAAGAACCATTACCCTCATTGTTAATGCATCTGGTCTTGTGAACATTGCAATATATGTCCCTATGTGATGTGGGCTGCAGGACGTGACACTTCTCAGGCTGAAAATGTAGATGTGCCTGTGTTCTCCCTCCTCGTGAAATTTCATATGCCTAATGCGTGTGTACACTTCCCTGACAGATGCAGGAGCTCTCAGATGCACCTTCTTCCAGACTCCCCTCATAGTAGTAGGGCTCTGACATGGTCGAGTGTTGCATATAATAGCCTCATGAAATGCTTGTGACATTTGGTGTTTCAGAATACCCTTTCCTTGGATTACAAGATATCACTGATTGATATTGGGCTGGTGATAGAGTACCTCCTTGGTGGAGCTTATCGGAGCAGCTACACAAGGAAGCACTTCCGAATTCTCTACAATGATCTCTACAGAAAACACAAGGTAAATTCTGTGATATGGCTACCACTAGTCACCAAGAAAAGCCAAAATGTGACACCTGAACACAGTCATTGTGGTTTGTCTGTAGAGCATCAGATAAATCTATGCTATACTTACCTGGTTTATGAATCTCTTTGACAACTGTGGAGAGGTTGCACAAAAATAGTAAAATCCCTCCACGAACTAATCCCACCCAAGACCACCAACGGCTGTTAAATTAACTATTATTTCAGTAAATTTACCTTAGTGTCCGGTAGCTGGGTTGTGTTCTTTGTCTTTCATCCATTGATAAAGATGACCTTTCAGAAGCACATCAGTACTAATGGTGCACCTTGCTGCCCAGGCCAATGAGCTGTGTTTGCCTGGCAGAGCTTTTTGCATGATGCAGTGGTCATCTCAGGGGAAGTCTTATGCTGGATGTGGCAGGCTGCAGCCATAGTGCAATGGCTTTGTGCAGGCAGAGGTTGTGCCTGGACTGTTCTTCACCTTCTAGATGCTTCACTGTATGGTTTCACTGTATGGCATAGCATTATGCCATGTCTGCATATCAGTAGCATCACCTCTGGAAACAAACAAACAAACAGCCTCAGTACAACAGTGTGCAAACATACTAGCACTTTCCTTTTTTCCATTGACTTTCCAAAACTAGTAACTTGAAAAAAGCCTAAACTTCTCAATAAATTAGCTGAATATCATTCACCACATCATGAAAGGAGCAGATTTACCACAGGAGTTCTCTCTGGTTTTCCAAGTAGAAGGACTTCCGTATGTTAAAAAGCAAACAATAAAACCTCTAGTGCCCAGGTACTGCTTTCATGACCAATAGAAGAACCTTAGGGTGATCAGAGAAAAATGAGAAGAAATAGTTGAAACTGTTACTTGGATTGAATAGAAACACAGAGACAGACCTTCTTGTGTGTCACTGGGTTAGTTCAAGATACAACTGAGCAGTTGTAACACTCTTCACTGTATCTTCATGAAATACAACCTTAAGTGATGGGTGAAACCACATAATTATGTAACTAGAAACTGCAGGGAAGAGATTTAGTGATTCGACTAGCAACATTCTTTCCTCTCAGGCAACACTGAACAAAATGCCCAGGGGTGCTAGAAATGCCATCCTTCAGAGGAAACTATCAGCAAAAACTTTAGAGAACTTCTGTCTTTTAAAGGGCTTATGTTATTTTTTATAAAGGTAGGCACTCAGAACAGCTTCTGGGTTGGGTGATTCCAATCTGATTCAAGCCCTGTTGTTGTAATTGGTGGATATTATTGGGGAAATCAGTATTCTGAATTCAGAGATTCAGAAAAATATGTATTTTTAAAATTAGATGTAAACGGGCTATTTTTTCCTTGATGATATAAGCTCCAGTGATAGTTACAGTGATTGCTGACTTAGTAGTCTCTGGATACTAACAGATTCTACAGACACCATTGCAATCAGACATAAGTACAGGCAAACCTCATCTAATTTGTATTTCTCTCCTTGTGTTTTATGGTATGCTTTTGGATCTAGAGAGTGCTCTCCAGCTTTTCTCAGAGCTTGTCTCATTCCCTTCATCAGAGTAATCAGACAGGTAGCAAAATGGGATCTGCTGAAAGTACTTTGCATTCTCAATTCTTCAGAACAGCACAACCTTACAAGTACAAGGTAATACAATTGTTTATTGTAGACTTTGCTTAAGACATACTAGGCTGCTAATCATTTTATTGACATATTTTAGACATACATTGGTCAGGTTGTTAGTTACCATAATTCTAACTAAATTCCAGTGGAATGTTTTACTGATCACTGTTCATGAAGTAGAAGTCTTGCAATTTTAATGTTGAAATCAGACTTAGACTTCTCCTTTGATACTTTTTAACTTCCATCCATTTGTTGCTAAGGGCTTTGGTTCACTGAAATGTAGCATCACCAAATTTCTGAACATCAAGCAAGGTGAAAAAACTCTTCTTATTTGGAAACAACAGTAGGAATTCTCTGACTTTCCTGGTGTTTTCTCATGATTGCTTATTGAAGTAGCTACAGTAAGCCTGCAAAGAAGTGGTGCAGTTCTGATATCTGGAAAATGATGACAGAGTATTTTCTTTCAAAGAAAGAATGATAAAAGAACAAAGTTTGCCACATACCTATATCTGACAAACAAAACATAAAATAGAATGAATTTAAGTGGCTTTATTGGAATTAGTCTGAGCCAAAATGAACACATTATATCATTGAGACAACATCACTTGTACCAGTAAGACTTTTTTTCTTTGCCTTTAATGGAGAAATATCCAGACATGAATGTATATCAAGTTTACATTACAAGCGGGACAGACAGTAAAAATAATCTTTAAGTATCACAAGTCCATGGTGTATGTTTCAGTCTACGTACTGCTTTTTCTCCTGTCATGACACAAGTACAAGAAAAGAGTGAAAGTAAGGTCTCAGTGTCATGGGGTTTGGAGATTGCCCAACGCTGTGGAAGGGGGGGCTATAAATGGTGTATGTACAGAGCATAGAGTGTATTTCCTCCACTACTGTTACCAGCTGCCTTGCATTGGTAATTTGATTGTGATCCTAGCTGTGGTTTATGACTTAAATATATATAACAATCAAATAGTTTGCTACTTGCTATTCAGATTTGTGTGCAGTTTTATTTACCTGAATCTGAACCTCAATCATTTCCTGAGATTTTTTTTTTTTTTTTTTTTTTTTCCACTGCTTTCCATAAGTGTAAGAAGAAATCAAAAGAGGATATAAACTTTGCGGAGAACTATGAGTCATCTGGCTTTGTCTACCCCTATAATGACCTCCTGGTTTGGGCAGTATTAATGAAAAGGCAGAAGATGGCAATGTTCTTCTGGCAGCATGGAGAGGAAGCCATGGTCAAAGCTGTTGTGGCCTGTAAACTCTACAGGGCGATGGCACATGAAGCTAAACAGAGCAACATGGTGGATGACACTTCAGAAGAACTCAAGAAGTACTCAAAGTATGAGTTCTCCCTTCACTTCAGTTGATAAAGTTCTTCAGTGCTTAGAATGGTTAGATCTTTACCTAATCCATGAAGAGTTTGTAAGGTTATTGGTGCCATGGACTACTGAGTGTAAAAGAAATACTTTCAACTGCCCACTATTTCTATTATGTAATGGACCTGTGTATTGGTGTGCAGTCAGGTCGAGAGTTAAAGGAAAACTATTAGCATGTTATCTAGTTGTATATTTGAAAATTAAAATATATAGGTGAGTAATGCAAGGCTCACTGCTAAATGGTCAAGTGGAAGACTGAAACTTCCCTTACATCCTCCCTTCCAGTTCAACTTTCTAAAAAGCCATATGGCACATATGTGTGGACTTTTCAAATGTGTAATGTTTGGTAATGAGCAAACTAAAATCAGTGCTTCAATCCTGCTCTGTGTAAGACCTATAGAAAAATGTGTGTTGTAATATCTGAGTGAATAAAAAATGAGGTAGACCAAGAATTCTCTTCAAGTTTGTAGTTTCATCTTAGTGTTTTCTGGTAGTTTTTCTTATTAATGACATATTGTCTGCTTTATAGACATCATATCACAGATTCAGAGTACAGTAAGATGTGCTGACTTGTTTTGAATGCAGCTCCGAAGCTGAATTTAAAGGAAGGTGTATCTTCTTTGAGGAGTCTTCCCTACAGAGATGTTTAAGAGCCAGTTTAAAAGAAGAGGCTTTTGCAACTGCCTTCAATGCTTACCCACAGTGGCGATGAGCCTGTTGTTGAAGGAAGTACACAAAACTTCACAGTGTCCATTTTGATCAGGTTAAGAACACAGCACATAAAAAACCAGAAAGCAGGATGACCTTAAACCTTGTGATTAGGACTTTTAGAACTACTCCTCAAATTGTTTTTCACTAGATACATTCATAAAGCAACAGGAGAAATAGGAGGAGGCATACTTATTGAGACAGTTAGCTGAAATTTAGTTAATTGAGTTTTCAAACCAACCTCTTCGCAGCAGCGATTCTGAGTTTTGACTGATCCCTGTTGTATTAATTCCTTTCTGCTGTAGGGAATTTGGGCAGCTTGCCTTAGATGTGCTAGAGAAAGCATTCAAACAAAATGAGCAGATGGCCATGAAGTTGCTGACTTATGAACTGAAAAACTGGAGCAACTCAACTTGCTTAAAACTAGCAGTGTCTGTGGGGCTGCGGCCTTTTGTATCCCATACTTGCACGCAGATGCTGCTGACTGATATGTGGATGGGACGCCTGAAGATGCGGAAGAACTCCTGGTTTAAGGTAACATCACTCTAGCTTTTTCCGAGCATTTAGATGCTATTTAGATGCTTTATATATGTCCTTGTGGTTATGAACAAGTCTAATGCAGCTTCAGACAGATGTGCTTAAGCATGGATAGGAATATGCACATCTGGGAGAGATATTTGAGGAGGGAAGACAGTACTTCTGTTTTGCTTCTTTGCAAAAGCAGCTGTTGGATGACATTAGGAGAATTCATTTTGTGAGGTTTTTGCCTGTTCCCATTCTCTCAGCACCCTTCAGTCCCTCCCCACCTGCTTTTACTGCTGGGCATTTCTGGTTGTGCAGCAGAGCTGCTGATGGGTGGAATGCCCCCTGGACATAGGGAGCAGTATCTAAAGTATTTCTAGATAGCATGACACTCTAAAGCCACAAAACGGTCGAAAGCAACAAGCTTCCTTTGGAGGCTGTAGGAACGTGATACGGAGATCAAACCACTGATACTTTTCGATGCCAGTGGGATGGCACTGCACCATGCATAGCAGACTATGGTCTCATGTCTAGGCTATCACTGTTGAATTAATTTCCTGAATCTTCTGTCTCTCTTTTAGGTCATTGTGAGTATTCTCCTGCCTCCCACCATCTTGATGCTGGAGTTTAAAAGCAAGGCAGAAATGTCTCATGTGCCTCAGTCTCAAGATTTCCACCAGTTCACATGGTACCATGGTGATGAGAGCCCAACCAGCTCTAAAGATGCCTTGTCTCTGGTTAGTCTGCAATGTTCAGTCATTTGTGTGTCAGGGTCTGTCTGTTTACCACAGTGTAATCCTGAGGAGTGAGTTCTCAACAAGTAGGGGTTTGATCCCTGATTTGAATGCAGATTGGAATGACCTTGGACAAGGCACTTCATCTGTCCTGGGTGTCACTTTTGTACTTGTTATGAGAAAATCCTTCCCAACCTTAGAAAAGTAGAATGAGATTATAATAATCTGTCAGTTACACAGGTATTTTAGGGCACAAATTCTATTCAAGATGCAGACCTATATAATCTTGTATGCAAAATAATCTCAGAATGTTTTCATATCATACACAAAATCACGTCCATAAAACTCAATTCTGGTTGCCCAGTTGAGGTGTCCAAAGCAGGGAAACAGCAGAATTGAGGCAGTCAAGTCCCACCCTCTCCAGCTGACTCTTTCTTCCTACTCTGCCTGGCCAGCAGCCTCTGCCCCACGTCAGCTGCAGCCTCTCCCCCTCTCCATGGCCATCCTTCACTCTTAGTCTGTCCTTGAGATTTTGTTTCCTGAATTACATCATAGTCCTTCCAGAGGTCTAACTCCTGCCTCCTTGTTGAAAAACAGGGTATCTCTACTTCTGCATATCTTGAGTTTCACAGAGATGCCATTCAAAGCACAAGGAGTCCTGAAACACTCTACAGGGACCTGTGGTTGTGCAAAAGTCCTTCTTAGGACATTCTGTGGGAAGTCTCCAGCGTAGGTGAAGTCTTTGCCTTTTAAGATCTGAATTGCCACAGACTTTTGCTAGGCAGAAGTGCCTGTCCTTTCTATTTCTCATTCTCCCCACAAAGTATTCCTTGAACTGAAAATTTCCAAAAGTTTTCAGTCTGAGGTAGACACCAAAGATGGAGAATTTTCATCCAAAAGGGTAAATGTTGGTGAGGTGCTAAGCAGCGAAAACAGGATTGTCAAGTGAGAGTTGTCAGGCAATCTTTTTTGCTCTGCTCTGCTTATCATACAACAGATAAGCATTGTAGATCGCTTAGGACCTTCTCAGATAACTGAGTTTGTGTAAAATAAAAGAGAGTGGATTGTTGTTGAGGGCTTTCACAGCAGCATAGACCTATCAATGCTATACTTGGGTTTTCTCTCTCTGATGTAGAAAAATGCTCTAATCCATTATCTCCTTCAGTGCTGGTCTAACACAGTTCAAAAATGCTTTTTATGGGGTTAGGTAACAGCTACGATACAGAGGACAGGCCAATTGTGATTATTTGCAGCAGGACCACCCCTGCAGTCTGGTAGAAGGCAACACAGCAATGTTGGACTGTTGGACAACAGGACTTTTCTGACCTGCCTCAGACAGAGTTGCTTCCTTCCTGTGTGAGCATTAAGCTTAACTTCTGATTTTATCCAGTATAGAGCATTGTATAAAACAAAAGGATGAGCTGCTATTTTTTCTTAAATACTGTGATATGAAATGTTATAGAAGAATACATAGAAAATTTCAACAGTGTACCTGTGCCCTACAGAGCATCTTTCACGCACATTCATAAATTCTAGTGACCTGCTGCAGCTGGAAATTGCACTCTTTCACGGGACAAGCTCTCTCCTTCACTTTGAAGGATCTGATGTTAACACATTGGGATGATTCTGTGTATTAAATTCTCTGGTTTAGCACTTTTGTGAGTCTAATGTGATAAAAGAAAATCAGTTTTCATGTGATAACCCAAGGAAATGTTGTGTAGTAGGGATAAATATGTCACATAAAAAGTGCTATACTGCAGATGTCTAGTATCAGTAAGTTTTAGCATTGATATTAGACAAGGCAATTGGCCATCATTGAAACAAACCTGAACAAGGCTGGCTCCCTCAGCTTTGTCCAGATATTAGCTATTTATATTTCCCCCAGGCCTTTCTCCCTCATTTCTGAAAACTCAGCACCTTCTGGTTTGTCAGTTGCCCCCTGCTGTGGGTATGCAGCTCTTCTTGGGCTTCAGCAGCAGATATTTGTTCTTTCAGAGGGATACTCAGACAAGTGTGAAACTCTAGATACAGAATCGTGTGCTTGCTTTTTTGGGTTTTTTTGTTCTTACTTTTCTGAAGATAACAAAGAAATTACCTTTTTTTTTTTTTTTTTTTTTTTTTGTAGGTAGATCTTTGTAAGAGTACTTATTTCATCCTCATCTTCTAAGCAGGCATACAATACATCAAAACCAGCAATTAGATTCTATATTTATAATTTCACTGACGACATTTTCTGTGCAACTGTATACATGAGTAGAAATGTGATGCTCATTCCCTTATTTCAGAATGCGCCACAGTTGTCAGTAGAGTTCTAGCTAACACAGTTATGTTGTAGTGGGAGTTGTTGTTTACCTGTATTTCACAGATGGGGAAAGTAGAGTGATTAAGTTACTTTTCTTAAAGACTTAAAGAAACATATGGCAGAAACAGGAGTTGATTCAGGTGTGCTGATTCTCAGTCCACTGCCTGTAGTCATAAAAGCAAACTCTAAATCAGTATTTATAGTGGTAAAGTGTACATGTTAATTATTGCAAATGAGATGGTTTTAACCAGACAAAATCAAGCTGAAGTAATGGTTTGTATATTCAGAACAGAGCTTAAACATCTGTTCCTCTCTTCCCTCTAACATAACACAGTCTTTGCAATCATAGACCATGATGTTCTTACTTCTAAAATGCTGTTTCCTTTTAAAGAAGGATTATGATGTGGAGAAGATTGCTCAGAAATCTGATGAAAGCCGAGTAGACGGTGGACAAGGCAACCTGCCTGGCACTAGAAAAATCTATGAGTTCTACAACGCACCAATTGTCAAGTTCTGGTTTCACACGGTTGGTCATCATTCTAGAACTCAGATTGCCAAAACCCTCCTTTGATCCTTCAAATACTACCTGATGCTGCTTTTACTTTGCGTAGCATGGATTTGCAGCCACTTAGTGGTTGGATGGATAGGAAGACATTTGAATATTTCTCTCACAATTAAGTGAAAAGTTTTTTTGCTAAAAACATGCAGATGCATTAAAAAACAAACATACAACAACAACAAAAAAATATAAGTAATTAAAGAAAAATCCTAGCACATCTTTCTGCAGTGGTTAATTGCACATGTAGAGATAGATTTGAAGCTGACCTTAAATGCCTTAAATACCTCACAGATATTCATGTCCCTTTCTTTAGGAACTATTTCTGAAGAAGTGAATATTAATCTATAGGAGATAATTTGCTGTAGAAAAATATGCATTTATTAGTAGCTAACTGTGTTTCAGCAGAGCTTAGGCTGTTTAAGATCAGGCTGCCTGTTGGGTCAGACAACTATGTACATAAACTGATACTTCTTTACCAGGATGTCGTTAAGTGCTTTATAGGTTCTTAATCTATTATCTCAGCTATATTTATAGCATGTTGCGGTAATATGTGCTTTCCAGTGTTTTGGAAGGCACTGATTAATGAGCAGTGATTCATGTAGCTTTGAGAATCGTTACTTGATTCTACAGAATGTTAGGATAAAAGCACAACACTGCCTTTACATTCAGGCAATAGTGTGCAGATAAAATAGTCTCTCATGTATGGCTTTGAGATTAAGTGAATGTGGGCTGCAATAGTTTGTCTTCTGCTCTCATTTTTTCAGCACTAAAACACCAATTTGCAAATGATGTTTAAGGATATTCCCATAAAAAAGTACTTTGAAGAACTGAAGGAAAGGTTTTAGGCTCAAAAATATGACAATGCCCCACTAGTTTGAATATATATAGTCAGGCTAATCATCTGTTAATACATTTGCAGAAATTTGTTGGAAATTTTTGTTAATATGGATAATATACTGTATGTTTTGCAGATGGCATACATGGCATTTCTCATGCTCTTCACTTACACTGTGTTGGTGAAGATGGAACCAAGACCGAGTGTGCAAGAGTGGCTTGTTATCATTTATATTTTCAGCACTGCTGTTGAAAAAGTCAGGGAGGTAAGCTTTTCCATTCACACTTCCCATCTACAGGGATATATTATAAACCGGAGAACACCATAAACTGAAGAATGCCAAATCCTGCATTAATTCTTTTTGTAGAGAATTTAGCAGAGAAAATAATTACACAGGGTGTTTATTTCTGAGAAGTCTTTTATTTGAAGACCAGTAACTGGGCTTTGAAAATGCATCTTAAATTTTGTCCTTAAATCTCTATTTTTCTCTGTAAAGCCCGTGGTAATGTGCAGGTCTCTTGACAGTGATTATGCTGAGTTGGTATTTGGAGCTGCAATGTAGGTATCTGTTTCTTAAATTTTGAGTGGACAGTTAGATTTCTTATAACATATGGAATTTGTCTTCAGATACTTTGAGGATGGACTTTGTTTTCAGTTAATTTTTCAATTAATATTTTCAGATCATCTGTGGCTCTCCATCAAGTCTGACTAACTCTATAAACAAAAACCACAATCCACTTTAAATGCTGGATTTGTTGAGCATGGAAAAATGATATTGCAATCAAAATTAATTGCAATTATTTGCAGTAGATCAGATCCAAGCTTCTGAACACAACTTGCACTCCAAACCCGAGGTTGGGAACAAATGCAGCTATGTATTCCCAAATTATGGTATCTGATTGGACATATCTTCACTGTAGAATTGGCACATAGTACACAATAGTAGTGTGAATTGTCTTTTATGCAACATTTGAAATGCTGTACTTTTAGAGGAATAAAACCAGTCATAGTTCTGAGTGAAGGATGCTTTTACAAACAGATCACTCAGAAGACTGCAACATCAGTATGAGAGAGGTGAATGATTTCAAGGGGCAGCAGAAATGCTGGGAATATATTGAAGCTTGGGTAAACATATAAATTCTGTGGCTGCATGAGATAAAAATGAAAAAATCTACACAAGGACTGTCTAATTGAGGGGGGAAAAAAAAAAAAAAAGTGTGAAATAGCCAGCACTTTTCAAATCACTGTTGTGCTGTTGCATCATGTTGATGGTGGGGGAGTGGAAACATGAACTCTTTTTCTAGCATTAAACGTTCATTGGAGACTTTGAAATTCATGTCTTCTACTTGATTTTTCTTTGTCCATGTACTAGTTCTGGTCTGCTGGCAAAGAATTGGTAGGACACTGTGTGTTAGACATGCAGCTAAATTAACTGCTGAGGACCTTGTTATATATAACTGCAAACCTCTATTTCTCTAGATTGTATCAAATAATTGTTAAAGCCTTAGGCCCTGATCCTGCAACTAGTTCCTCACGTGAGTTAGTCCGTCTGAATTGAGTAGGATCACTTGTTTACATTAATGTGTTCATATGCGTAAATTCTTGCAGGATCAGGGCATAACATTTCAAAATCTTTCCTTTGTTTGGTACTTATCAGTGTGATCTTACATAGCACTGCATAATTGGCCTCACTTGTGCAATGTGCCGAGGTTTTATTTATGGCCCCCCAAAGATTCCACTTCACACATTTGCTCAGTGAAGCTTAAAATCCCTTTGGGGCACCTCACAGTTCAAGGAGTGAACATTTCATTCTTTACCTTGCTAGTTGCCAGCACTCCTTTTTTTAGCATGTCCTTGGTTGAATACAAGGATCTTTCTTTATATTTTCTGTCTGAAGTAAAAGGCATTAGTTATTTTCCCATCAGCAAGGTTAGGTTGGTACTTTCCATGACTTAGGGGCTTTTCAGAGGCCTGTTGCAGGTTGTGGCCATTCCTCTAGAAAATGCTTGTTAATTTCTAATGACATGTATGTATAACAGTTCTGTACTGGTTGCTCTTTTCTGCCGAGGAACATACTCTTTAGTGAATAGGCCCAGGCTCAGAATCTGTTTTTCCTTAGGAAGAGCTATCCTCTTCGATGTGACATACTTGAACAATATGACACTTATACATTAAGTACAAACCTCGATTAATGGTGAATGGCAATATGCAGTACATGGGCCTGCAAAAATAAAAAATGAAAAATATGATACATTCCCACATGTCATGAAATAGTTCAAACAGAAGAGTTTAAAGAATGTATCTGTGATTTTAATGGAGTTTTGTTGTTATTTTTTCTTCCACATTCTACTCAGGTGTTTATCTCAGAACCTGGAAAATTCTGCCAAAAAGTGAAGGTGTGGATTTATGAATACTGGAATTTTACTGATTCTATAGCTATCATCCTGTTTATGATTGGTTTTGGCTTGCGCTGGTCTGATCCCCCTGTTCAAACTGCAGGGAGGCTACTTTACTGCTTGGATATAATATTTTGGTATGCTCGGCTCCTGGATCTTTTTGCTGTGAATCAGCATGCTGGCCCATACCTGACAATGATTGGGAAAATGGTAAGTATTTTGCTTTGGACCAATATTTTTGTTGTTAAGACATCTGCTGAGGAACATGTAAAGGTCAGAGGTGACAAAAAAGAATAATGGTCAAAGGAGAGATCATGTAATGATTCATGGTGAATGTATTACCTGAAAATACCGTGCCATTTTTTTGTTTGTGAGTTGACCATAATTAGATTTCAGTTCTCTGTAATTTATTCATTATTGGAATTTATTCACAAAAGCCATTTTTGCTTCATTCCTTAGAGGAGGGTTGCATCTGAGTTGTTTCTGATCCAGCTTGATAACAGGAGAAAGAAAAATCACTGTCTGTTGTAGATGGGCTCACTACTATAGATAATTCCCCTAGCTCTTGGAAACTGTCTCATTATTATTTTACATTTTGATTCAAATAATTATATCCCATTTTAGCAGGCAAAATTTCTCTGAGATCAAAGTTAATTTTTTTCTCTTTGGTATAAAGAACTGCTGCTGAACTGCTGCCTGGTCTTGAGGGGCATCTGCAGATTCCCACTGTAATTTCCCTTGGTTATTGGGAACTATCTTATTAATACCTTTATATTCTGTCTTGCATAGTAATTTCAATTCAGTGTTAAAAGGCAAAATCATTTTCACTGCTATTCCTTGCTCTCAGTTTGGAAGAAATACCACTGAGGAAAAGAACCATCATGAGGTCTCTGCATTTTTCAAATCTTGCTTAAGGTCTTAAGAGGGACTTGAGAGGCAAGTAGGAATTGTGGCCTTTTTGATCCTGGATGACTTTAACCTCTATAAAATACTTGGGTAGTCCAGGTCATAGAAATAAAATATTTTTATATCATACAGCATATTAGATTATTAGAACTGTTTTTATATTCTTATTGATACTTTTCCCTAAAATGTATGTCTCTTTTACATATAATTAACAGCTAATTCTTTCATGCAAACATATCTTCCCAGACAGCAAACATGTTCTATATTGTGGTCATGATGGCCATAGTCCTGTTGAGTTTTGGAGTGTCACGAAAGGCAATCCTTTCACCAGAAGAGCCTCCTTCTTGGACTCTGGCACGAGATATTGTATTTCAGCCTTACTGGATGATGTTTGGTGAGGTGTATGCTGGAGAAATAGATGGTAGGTAATTTTCACAGCTTAAATATAATACATGCAGAAACACGTTCAGTTCAGGTAACTAAAGTTTTGCCCACATATTGAGTCTATTCTATCTCAAACAATTTTGATTCCAGTATATATATGTCCTTAATGAGTAATACTGCATGAATAAAGGTGAGAGTATTCATTTCTTTGTTAAAAATAAAGATTAAGCATTAAAACCTTAAAATTTAGCGTTTTAGGTTAAGTATATTGCGAAGCTCAGAGCAAATCACATAGGAACTAACACTAACCTAGTTCTGGTCAGGGAATCTGGCGGTGAAATGAATTTCCATTTAGGTGAATCCAAAACTGCTGATCTTTTGGAGAAAACACTATAAAGTTGTCTTAAAGGAAGAAAGAATAAAGGAAATTAAAAAAGGAAAAATAAGAATGAAAAATATTTTTTCACCATAGTGTTACTTGGTGTAATTTTTAAACAGAAAAAACAGTTGAACATCGGAAAAATAGAACATATCAATGTAAATAGGAAAAATGTTATTTCTTGATTATGAGTTTGACCTTGTATCTCTTGTAAGAGAGAACCAGGCATTTCAGGAAGTTATTTCAACATTACAGATGGAAGGCAATCTAATGCTCCTAAGGGATGGGTACAAGTAAAAGAGTCCCTAAAATAGAAAAGTAGGTATGCAGATAGATATTTAAGATACATAGTTCGGCACAGACCTGATTCATTAAAATAAGATGTTTCATCTGTTATTATTGCTGAAACAGTCATGTGATGGGAATGTATTTTGGTTAAGCAAGTCAAAATTCTTTTAATGAAAACAACTGTTATGTTTCACAGTTTAATCCATTTAATCACTTATTAATGCTAAACCTTTAGAAATTAGACACTTCCTAAATAAAACTATGATTTCTCTAATGACACTTTATGCTGCAGAATATGTCCTGAATTTAGGGCTGCTGCCTTATAAATCTGTTCTAAAATTTTCTCAAAGGTGTAAAGCTTGATTAAAAATTATAAAGACTGAAAAATATTTGTTTTGACAATGTAAAAGCATTAAGAGGGATCCCTTAATTTTTATGATTTGTTGGTTCATCTCACAAATATTTGTAGCCATATATCTTTTTGCACATGAGTTAATGTGATCTTACTGAAACTTTAAAAGGAATAACACTCCAGTGGTGATAAAGCAGCCTTTGTGCTGTATTCTTTCCACAGTGGAGTCAGTGAAAATGTTGTCACTTGCTTTAAAGATCAGAGATTTGGATTTCAATTTGCTTGAGCGTGTTCCATCTCCCAGATACTTTTCAGCTGCATCATTTTTCCCCTTAACAAAAAGTTGGTGTGACTGGTGTACAAACTGATATGTATGAAATGGTGTTTACAGCTTCTGAATTACAACTGAAACTATAGGACAGTAGTATCATGAAGAGGCTTCACATCTTCTTTACAGGGAGGTAGACTTTTTATTTGGAAATTTAGTAATGTATCTCTGTGAAAGTAATGAGAACTGTTCTGTTTCATGCAGGGGTGAATGAGGACCACATGCTATTGCTGTGCAGTTCTCTTGGTTTCCATGCTAACCATGCTCTGTATGTCCTTCACTTTCAGTCTGTGAAACCAATGAAGACTGTCCTCCTGGCTCCTTCCTCACGCCATTCCTCCAAGCTGTCTACCTCTTTGTGCAGTACATCATAATGGTCAATTTGCTTATTGCTTTCTTTAAGTAGGTACCATTGTATATTGCTGCAAAAAGCAACTAATTGGTGTTCTGCCAACACTTCCGCAAAAGCTTTTACCAAAAATGCCCCAGCAGGGGCATGTTGATGGTGTTTGTTACCCCATCTTCCATGGAGGTCCACTGAATAAAAAAAGAATGATGGAAGCAAGAAGGTGGGAGGAAGGTCATGGTGAGCAGACACCTAAACTGTTTGCCATTTAAACAGAATCTGACTCAGTGCAAGTGGACAACTCCAGCTGGCAAACAAGCAACGTTAATTCAGCTCTGATGTAATTTGTCCTTTGTTCCTAAAAGTTGTATTTGTTGTGCTGAGAGCCGATATAATGTTCATCACAGGGTAACTCATGATCTAAATTGGCAAATAAGTGGAGAAGGTATTCAAGGGAAGAGAATAATGACTTTGTAGGAGCATGGTTTTCTTTTAGGTAATTATTTGAAAATTCCTTGTGCAATTAATTTGGTATGTTCTAGACTGAAATCTAACTGTGATGTTTTTAATGTCTGCTACCAGAGTATGAAGGGTCTTCATAATAACTCATAATAATACTGTAGTAATTAATCAGTGTCTATGGTAATTCTAACCTTTCAAGTTTTAAAAGAGAAACCCTTGTAGTGGATCAAGTTCTGTAAAATACTAGTAAAGAGCAGTCTAACCCAAGTAGGTAATTATTTTTTCGTAGAGTTCTAGTATTTCTGAGGAGGAAAAAGTCAGCTGTAGGTTAAAAGACATTCAAATGAAGAAATGTAGTGATTAATATTCAAGAAGACGGAATGATCAAAACTCATCCTATTCCCACTTCCAATTAGAAATCCCTTTCCTGAAATGTGGCAAGGCATCAATTTATTTTTTTAATGCACAGCTGTGAAATTGTAATTTGAATTATTTCTAGATTTAAACCTTCAGCAATAATGATATGTTAAATCTTCTGCCTAGTGATTTGATTGTTCCAGAAGTGGGACCAAAAATGGGTATGAGCAATATATTTAATTTTGCTCCCAGAAGCAAAGCTGATGTTTTTGTGATTATATGCTGGGTGTGTAGTATGATGGTGCAACTGAAATTACAGTGCCAGAAACCACAAAGTTGCTTTGTACTTGGGTCTGTGATAATAGACATGGGAAATTATTCAGTGCAACAACAGTCACGTTTAATAATATCATGGCTGCAAAGAGTACCCTGCAGAAGAATCACTCATATAGCTGCCTCTTGCAGCAAGTATTTTGTTTAGGGGATGTATACAGAACTGTTTTGTTAACACTCTTCCTTTAGTCTGATTCTTACATTTAATCCAGGCCAAAGAGGCAGACAATATTGAATTCTCAGTTAGACTATATATTAAAGTTTAAATAATCTGACTGAGATTTCAAAGCCACTTCAGGGATATTTTTTGCCCAGTTCCCATTAATGTGGATGGGAATTGGATCTCCAAATCTGTTAGGCAGCTTTGAAGATCTCATTCTCAGTGCATTAGCTGCAGGCACATGCTGCTGCTTTGTTAAATGAAAGTTGCTAAGCTGATTTACCTCAATGGAGGGATGGGACTTTTCTCAGTGTCAAATTAGATCTGTAGACAAGCATATTGTGCTGTATTGGGTGTATTCCTCACAGGAGTGTTTTACCATCCTCCTCTCTCTACTCTCTTCTCAGTAATGTTTATTATGATTTGAAAGCCATATCGAACAAGCTCTGGAAGTACAACCGGTACCGCTACATTATGACCTATCATGAGAAGCCATGGCTGCCTCCACCTTTCATCCTCCTGAGCCACATTGGACTTCTGATAAACCGCATCTTCCACCATCAGCCTCCAAATGAGTTGGATCAAGAGGAAGGCGACGTTGGACTAAGTAAGCAGAGCTAAGCTGGGGACCAGAAGAAAAAGCTGATGAGGAAAGTTTTGCCAACCTCCCATCACTTTGTAGCTCAGTTCTTTTGCCCATCCCCCTATTCCCCTCCCCCCCCC